CGTTTTTGTAGGCATTAAACTGCCAGAATTTTAAAAGACGATATCTCTGTTTGCATTGAACTTTCAGCACTGCAACTTTGCAGATATTGTTTATGCTCAAACAGCAACATTACACACTAACTAACGTTAAAAAAGTGAAATCACAATCAACCACCCCTTTAAAAAGTGGAAAACATATATAAAATATAAATCATATTATAAAATGTGTATTTAAACATTTTTAACAACACATAACATTATTAATAAATATAAATAATAGAATAATTATTTTCATTTAATTATAAAAGATTATACATTTTCTAACATTTCTTCCTGCTAAATAATTAGACATTTTTAGATATTGATTAGATATCAGATGTATAAATAATTATCTGTATTAATTATACATTATTTGTTTGTATAATAGTCCATCTGTTACAGAAACATAGAGGCAATGTCAAACAGATCCATAACTTTTATGAAACGCCTCTGTGGCATCTCAGGAATGGCATGTTTGTTGAATGCTGCTTTATTCCATGTGTTGAAGGAGCTAATGGTGCCATCTTACGTTTTTTTCTGGTTCTAACGGCCTCATAATCTGCTGAGAGCTGTAATGGCTGGATTGATTTGAGGCATGGAGTAATGCACTTTCTCCCATTGCTTCAGTCAATTAAACACGATGAAGAGCATAAGCGTCCATCTGTGTTCTGAAATCACAACAGAGCAGCCGGAGGCAGTCGCGTGCGGTAGGTCTCGGGGGTCATGTGACCAGGGCGGTCCCTGAGGTTCATGGTGGTTCATCTGTCAGGGGTGTACAGTATCCCCTGTGGTTATGTATTATATCACCCCGAGATGCCCTGCTGGTGAACCAGAGCCAGAGACCATAAAAACAGCCCTTACCCCCCTCTGTACTGCCTCTGTGATGAGGTAGATGAGATGAACCAGTTATCCGATACGCTGCTCTGATGCATGACTTCAAATAGAGGCAATAAAATGTTTCAATATATGTATATTTTTGGTTAAATGTTTAATGAGGTATTTCTGTTGTTATAACATTACTGAAATTATTTTAACTTACACATTTACATAATTATTTACATAATTATACCTTTAATAACATCAGTGTTGTTCCCAATATTTTTTTTTTCCTAAATTTTTTGTTACTTCTTTACAGATTCATCCCTTTGATTTTTATATCACTATAAATATGTGACCCTGGAGCACAAAACCAGTCTTAAAGGGGTCATATGGATATTAAGTAAAGATCATGTTCCATGAAGATATTTTGTAAATTTCCTACTGTAAACATATTAAAACTTAAATTTTGATTAGTAATATGCATTGCTAAGAGCTTCATTTGAACAACTTTAAAGGCGATTTTCTCAATATTTTGATTTTTTTGCACCCTCAGATTCCCGAATTTCAAATAGTTGTATCTCGGCCAAATATTGCCCTATCATAACAAACCATACATCAATGGAAAGCTTATTTATTCAGCTTTCAGATGCTGTATAAAGTGGTCCAGGGTCACATATAGCAATAAATGATATCTTAAATTAATTAAAAATAATTTCACATTCACATTGTTTAAAACATTCACAGTAATAAAAATAATACATTCACAGCATTTTAGACTAGAGACATTGGATATTGTCTTTTGACTGAAAAAGGGAAATTTTAATATTAAAATGTGTATTTAAATATTTATAAAAAATAATATATAATTGAATTTTAATCAACATAAATAAAGGTATATTTATTTTAAAAATGTAATTTTAAAAGTTAATTATAAATGCTTCGGTTGCTCCTATGACTTAAAATAGAGGCAGTAAAATGTTTTGTGTGTGTGTGTGTAAAAGTTTAATGTGGTGCTGCTATTGTTCCAACATTACTGAAAGTATTTTTTAAAGACGTACACCTACATCAGTATTGTTCCTAATAATTTTAATAATATTATTATGTGATATCATTATATTACTTTTTTGCAGATTTCTATAGATTCCCAGATTTATATATTTATATATAGATATATATATTCGTCTCATTCAGTCTATTGATTTTTCAAATGCTATGTGATTCAGAATTTTTTAAAATGAATCTGTTTGAAAGAATGATTTGTTCGCAGATCGTACATCAGTAGTGTGTGACTGTTGCACAAGGGCTTTATGTTTCTTTTCCTCTTTATGAGCTCGGATCAGATGGGATTATATGGAAATCTTGTGTGTATGTTGACTAAAGTTTTCTCTGTGGTGAATGAAGCCAGGTGATTAATTCCGACCCTGATAAAAACCATAAATATAGGTTAGCTATGTATTATGTGCTTATGTTGAGCTGGATTCAGTGCTCTTGCTAGCGTTAAGTTTGCACTTAAAGAAGATGAATATCTGAATAAGATTTTTTGTGTAAATAATATTTCACCCGAAAATAATAATTGAGATATTTTTAATTTTGCATTTAAATTAGAATATTTTTTCATTATTTCTATTATGATAAGCACAAACATTTCCTTTCCGGTTCCAAATTTTTATTACTGTAAAAAAAATCATGTTAATACAGTAATGAAAATCATGCTGATACAATGTTTCTATTTTTATTAAAGAATGCATTAAATTCACTATTACAAATACTAC